CATATTTAAAAGAAATCTCTACTCACTTGATTTTCTTAAACTTTAACTTGAGTTGGATTTTGAGTGGAATTCACTTACCTTATGCTTGAGTAGTCTCTTCTAAGCTCTCTACTCTTGTTGGATTCAAATCTTCTCTTAACCCTAAGCATAAACTTCATAAGAACTCAACTTTTACACAAATAAATCATAGATAAAGAGCATGAATTCTTACCTTTTGATGCTTAGAATTAAAACCCTATGAAAATCTACTCAAAAGCCCTCAAATTCCTTGGAGAAGCGAATGAAAATTTGAGAGAAAATGGAGGAGAAGAGTGGCGGTGGAATGAAGGAAATAAGGGTTACAAACCCTTATCATCTTATTTTACAAATATGCTTTCCCATTTTGCCCTGACACTTTTTTTGGAAATTTCATCCTTGAGTGAAAAGACTATTTTACCCGTAATACAAGTTTAAGGCATTTTCTTCATATTCTCTTAAAATAATTCTAACAAAAATTAATAAGGGCTATAAAACATAATTTAAATCATGTACCTCCATGTTGGGCGTTACATGGTGGGAAGAAGAAGATGTACAAGAAGGAGGAAGAAAAAGAAGCAGAGGAAGAAGAAGATGTAGACGAAGCTTAGAATAAATAGCAACCAGGGGAGAGATGCGTTAATGGCATGAGGAAGAAGAAGAAGATGTTATGTTTGGGTTTGTTTGCAAGAATTTCAGGTTTTTGGGGACATATATAATTTTTAAAAGATTACACAATACTTCATTAATCCCAATTAAGCTATAATTAGTGTTTCATTGTTATTAGTTTGTCTTAATAAAAAATAATACCATTTAGTAAAGACTAAAAAACTACATGGCCTTTTAATTAAATTCAAGGCCAATATGACATTTTAATCATTTGCCCCACCAAATGTTAAGTCTAACTCTTTCTATAAGTACTTTGTTCCTTTTAAGTTTTAAGGCTATTTTAAAACTTTTGTCTCTTTTCTACTAATTTCTAAATAGATCCTTTAGACCTTCGAAATTTGAAGCTAGAGGTGTCAGAAAAGTTACCACAGGGATAACTGGCTTGTGGTAGCCAAACGTTCCTAGCGACGTTGCTTTTTGATCCTTCGATGTCGGCTCTTCCTATCATTGTGAAATAGAATTCACCAAGTGTTAGATTGTTCACCCACCAATAGGGAACGTGAGCTGGGTTTAGACCATCGTGAGACAGATTAGTTTTACCCTACTGATGACAGTGTCATAATAGTAATTCAACCTAGTACGAGAGGAACCATTGATTCGCACAATTGGTCATCGCACTTGGTTGAAAAGCTAGTGGCGCGAAGCTATCGTGCGCTGGATTATGACTGAACGCCTCTAAGTCAGAATCCGGGCAAGAGCGACGCGTGCGCCCGTCGCTTGATTACCGACTTGCAGTAGGGACCTCTCGGTCCCCAGAGGCATGTGTCGTTGGTGAAGCCCCCGCGGCGGAAGAGCCGCGAGGGCCGCCTTGAATCGTAATTCCCACCGAGCGGCGGGTAGAATCCTTTGTAGACGACTTAAATACGCAACAGGGTATTGTAAGTGGTACAGTGGCCTTGCTACCACGATCCACTAAGATTCAACCCTATGTCGCTCCGATTCATCCCTCCCCCTCAATATATCCTCTCGATCTTGTCCTTCCCTTACTCAACACTTATAAATTTTCTCCGGTATTGTCCTAGAGGTCTTCGACCATAAAAACAATGGAATTGTGAAAAACTTCTAAGTCAAAGAGAGGACAAGGGTCTTTGGACATTGCCCATCATGGGGGTGCTTGGCTGATTTTGTTGCCCATGCGCCAAGGCATAGGCAGTCAGCCCCTCGGTTGCGTGGCTACTTGTGGGAAAACTTCCCACGGCATGGGCAGGCAACCCTTGTTGCCTGCGGGAGGGACCTTGGTTGATTTCGCCAAGGCATGGGCAGGCATCCCCTCGGTTGCTTGGTTGCTTGGGGAAAACTACCCACGGCATGGGCAGGCAGCTTGTTTTGCACGGAAGCTTGGCTGCTAGTGGGAAAATTGCCCACGGCATGGGCATGCAGCCCTTGTTGCTTGCGGGAGGGAGCTTGGCTGATTTCGCCAAGGCAAGGACAGGCATCCCTTCGGTTGCTTGGTTACTTGCAGGAAAACCACCCATGACATAGGTAGGTAGCTTGTTGCGCGCGGGAGCTTGGCTGCTTATGGGAAAATTGCCCACGGCATGGGTAGGCAGCCCTCGTTGCCTGCGGGAGGGAGCTTGGCTGATTTCGCCAAGGCATGCGCAAGCATCCCCTCGGTTGCTTGGCTGCTTGCGGGAAAACTACCCACGACATGGGCAAGCAGCTTGTTGATCGCGGGAGCTTGGCTGCTTGCAGGAAAATTGCCCACAGCATGCACATGCATGACTTGTTTACGCGCGTGGGCATGGCTGCATGCGGGAGCGGGCGTGGTCTGCTTGCGCGCGCGGGCGTGGCTGATTTTGATGTGCACCAAGGCTAGGTTCAAATCAAGCATTTTTTCGGGAAATGAGGCTAATTAAAATATTTTGCTAGGCACCAAGGTTGGGGGTTCAAATCAAGCATTTTTTTCAGAAAAGAGGTTAATTAAAATATTTTGCTAGGCACCAAGGCTGAGGGTTGAAATCAACTATTTTTTGGGAATGGAGGTTAATGTGGGCACCAAAAACCCAACTGCAGCAATTTTAGCTCAAAACAGCCCCTTGGTGCCTTGGCCAAGGGCAAATGCAGCAGTAGTGGGCTGCTTTTGCCCGTGCTGTGCACCGAAATCCTTTTTTTGAAAAAACTCCCATACAAAGTTCAAAATATGCCGATTAATGTATATACCACAATTCAAATGGGGATTTTAGGAGCACAACAAAACAAACCCCGACCCAAAATTCATAGTATATGATTTTTTATGATTTTTCAAAGTTTTAATCTTCAAAAAATCATGTAGTAGTGCAAATTACGTTTTGTTATTTTTTTTTATTTTTTTTTTTTGTTTTTTTTTGTTAGCTTCCTTGCATTTTTGTTTACGTCCATACAAAAAATCAGCTCAAAATTCAAAGTTTTGCCCCTTCTTAGGAGGGGGGTGACAGCTCAAACATGGGGTATACCCCCTCCTAGCACTTTGCCTTGTGCAAATAAGCCTCTTTAGGGGGGAGGTGGTTCTCTCAATCCAGTTGTCCTTGCTGCTGTGCCTTGCGTGCTGTCCCTTGTGTGCTGTGTTGTGCTTGACTCCCCCCACCTAGGCACAGACCCGATTGTTGCTTGACCCTTGTGTGAGCCATGGCCGATGTCCGACAACCACCTTCGGTCAGCCTGGCTGCAGCGACTGGGCCAACTCCGGCCACCGGCCAAGCAATTTCTTGCTTGCAGGAAACTATGGGAAATGAGGCTAGGAAACGTGGGAAACGAGTTAGGCTGTGGGAAAGGTGGCTGAGCCCCATGTTTTGAAGCTCCAAAGTAACCCCATGCAGCAATGTGTGGGCAAGCTGCGGAAAATCTGGGTGTGGTACGATGAAGCCTTTACCTTGTGGCCTTCGGGAGCAAAGCATAATGCGCAAATGTGGGGACTGAGCCCCATGCGCCGGCTACCAAAGCCAACGCCCATGATAAGCATGTGGCATTTTCTACCTATATAGTGTTGATGCATGGCTGCACTGTAGTACCTCGGGCATGGTTCGATGCCCCCACCTAGCGTTAGCAACGCTATGACTGAGCCCTATGCACGGGTTAATGTGGGAAACGAGTTAGGCTGTGGGAAGGTGGTTGAGCACCATGTTTTGAAGCTCCAAAGCAACCCCATGCAGTAATGTGTGGGCAGGCTACGGAAAATCTGGGTGTGGTGCGATGAAGCCTCTGCCTTGTGGCCTTCGGGAGCAAAGCATAATGCGCGAATGTGAAGACTAAGCCCCATGCACGGGTTGCCAAAGCCAACACCCATGATAAGCATGTGGCATTTTCTGCCTATATAGTGCTAATGCATGGCTGCGCTGCGGTACCTCGGGCATGGTTCGATGCCCCCACCTAGCGTTAGCAACGTTGTGACTGAGCCCCATGCACGGGTTGCCGATGCGAACACCCATGATAAGCACGTGGCATTTTCTACCTATATAGTGCCGATGCATGGCTAAGCTGAGGCATCCCCGGGCATGGTTTGATGCCCCGATGTCGCTACAAACAATTCGGTTGGTTTGGGGGCTGATCATTGTGCTTGTGCATGGTGTGATGCCCCGGTTGCCCGTTGCCTGTTGAAGGCTTGTGGACAGACCCCCCATGCAAGGGTGATCCTAAGTTTCTCTTGTGCGCCTCGCCATGCAGGTTTATTGGCCTGTGTATCGTAGTGCAAGGGATGCGTACGGTGATCCCGGGCATAGTGAGATGCCCGCAACGCATTGTCTCTTAAGTGATAGTATCCCTTATAACTTTTAATAATGAAAAAGAGAAGAGAATTTATGGCATGAAAGTGATTTTAGAAACCATTTTTTATTTTTTTAATTTCATATTTCTCAATTTGTTTGAAAATTACTAATTCATATGAATAACACATACAAAGAATCATACAAAGAGACAACCTCTATCTTTAAAATCTCTCTCTCTCTTTTTCCTTCTTTTAAGGGTAGGGATTATCTCTTTATATGACTTTTTGTATGTCTCCTTATAAGGCTAGTGTTACGCATTTCAGATACTAAATTCTACTACTCTTGTCTCCTGAGATTTCTATTGCCTCGTCTCTCTTTTCTAAATTTTTTCATTTGGTTAAATCAAATTTTAAACAAGTTCATATAAATTAATAGTCCATCCCAAACCAAAATTACAAACTTTCTTTAATATTTGACTTAAAACTGACTAGATTCCCAAGATTCTTCAATTGATAAAACCAAAACTCCTTTTTTGTTTTCTGAAGATGAATCCGAACTTGAACATGTTACAACTTCAACGCTTGTATTTGAACGCCAAAACCTTCTCTGTTAAATCTCCAAACCATAACATTCCAGTCNTGGTGATGGGCCACTTGATAATAAGCAGTCTTCAAGTTTAAACAACGTTAGTTTTGCGACTCCTCAAGTTAGTATACTTGATGCATACTACAGGTATGTTAGTTTTTATCGTTGTTTTCTAATTTGTTCTTTTTGAGCCCTGATTTCGTGACTCCTTATTATCAAACATTTTGAAATGTAGGGGGTTGAGTAACGTTTTTCTTGGAGATTTCCCAAATCAGCCGCCCAATTTTTTTAACTTTACTGGTGATGTTTCGGATGTATCAATATTCACCGCGAGCGGGACAAAGGCGAGGCTCATAAATTATGGTGAAGCAGTTGAAATTGTGTTCCAAGGAACAAATCTCCAGGTGGCAGAAACCCATCCTTTGCATTTACATGGTTACAGCTTCTTTGTGGTGGGAACTGGTTCTGGGAATTTCAACAATGAGACAGATCCTTCATCTTATAATTTGGTTGACCCACCAGAACTTAACACCGTGAACGTTCCCAGGAATGGATGGACTGCAGTTCGATTTTTTGCTAACAATCCTGGTGAGTGTCCCTGTACTTGGTTGCACGTCAATTAACTTTACATAGTCAAATCTTATAATACCTTAGACGTCTAGGAAAATAACTAAATATAATATTTCAACTCTGTACCCAAAATAATAATTATATACAAGTTGTTTTGTCAACATCACATTTGTTAGTTGATATGAAACATAATACAATTCAAATAAATTGTCACATCAATTAGATTATATATAGAGTTGAAATAAATACTTTATAATTATTTAAATTATTCTACAGAAAATTAGTTGCAATCAGATTTTCAGGTTTAACCATGTCATTCTTCTAAAATAAACGGGTTTTTGCCAATGGATTATAATATTAAATATTCTCTAACTTGAATGATTTTTAACTTTTTTCAGGAGTGTGGTTTGTGCATTGTCATTTGGAAAGGCACGCCACCTGGGGCATGGATACACTTCTCATTGTCAGGAATGGGCAGTCCGATGATCAGAAAATTCGACCACCTCCTGCCAACATGCCATCTTGTTCTTAAGTTATTTGTATTCTTAGAATTGTTTTCTTTTTTCGTTTTTTAATTTTTTTCATCTCTTTCATATTTTTGGTTTGAAGACTTAAATAATGAAAATAATGTATGAAAGGCTGCTTGGTGGTGCAATGTTCGCTGGGACATGTTACACTCTTGGCATCGACTCTACTGAGCATCGGAATATAATATTACATATTATGATGAGATTTAGTTGCGACGAAAAAACTGACTTTGGGAGACATGTTTGTGGTGATATATAGTATTTTCTGATGATTTGTCTTTGGAACTTAAGGACTATGCATGGTTTAATAAAAGGAAGGCATTCATTCATTGCGCGATTCTCCTTCTCTTGTAATTTATTCCTCAATTCATTACTATGGAAGGAAGTTAAATACATTTAATTTCCTTGTTAATTAGTTTCAAATTGTCATGTGTGACTAGAAAATGTGATACGTTATAGGGTTAAAATGGTAAAATCATGAGTGACCCATAAAACTTACTAAGTTCACATGCCCAACAAGAAGTAAAAGAAGTCCAAAACAGGGCAAAGGATAAACCCAATACAAACCTGTTAGTGAGGGATCTTTGTATATAATGCTGTTAGTGAAGCAAAAATCAAATATATTTCAGATGATAACAGCTTGGAGAATTGATTAATAGCATATAAATGCAGCCTGGAGAATTGATTAACAGCTTTTGGCTTCAACTAACTTTGTTGTTTTGCTTGAGGGGCGATGTTAGTGAAGAATAAAAATCACAACTGCTACCGGTCTAATTGATAAAAGGTCGGTTCAGAAAAAGCATAGATCCTACAATCTAAAATTCTTCATTTTGTGTTTGTTTTGTGAATATTGGATGGCTGAGATCTTTTACTAAAGCAAGCCTTATGGATTGCTGTAAGACCCTTACAAAGGGCAAGGGCAGGCGTGTGGCTTTCATCCTTAGCCACAGCCTCGCCAAAGACAACACACGGGTGTGTGCTGAACAAGGATGGTGGACATCAGGCGCGGGGTGTTTGAGTGTGGGGGCGCCAAACACTTTACTGATGAAATGGCTTGCGGGTGTGGGCACTTGCAAGTTGTAACATGTGCGGGTGGGCATGTTTTAACATGGGCGTGTGCGCTCATGAGCAGGCTGGACAGTGGCACACGAGCTGGGACGTGTGCAAGCATGCAAGACAACCAACGAGTGGCTGAGTTCATGCATGGGATAGAAATTTGCGTGCATGAGGTGCATGGGAGTGTGCACGAGTTGAGGGCAACAATCAGACAAGGCTGCATGGTTGCTGGACCAAGGCTGTTGGGCAGTTAGATGTGTCCAGGTTCATTTGTATGTAAAGTAACTGTCATGTAACTGCTGATAAGAATGTAAAACTGTTATGTAACTGCTGTGCCATTTGTATATAAGGCTGGCAGATATCACATTCGTGATATAGAGAGTGAGAGGGCAAGGGTTATGTGTTTGTAAGCCTTGTTGTAACTTGAGTGCAAATCTGTGAGGGAGGATCAGATTGTAAACAGTGGGGAAATGCTGTGTGTGTGTGCTTGAGTTATCCTTGTATTCAGATATATAATATAAGGTTGGGAATTTCCCGTATGTGTTGTGCATTGACTCTCTTTAGCCTCTGTTGTATTTTGTTTGTGATTTGTAACAGGGAAAACGCACAACTTGAGGTAGGCTTACAAGTGCTTGGTGTGCTTGTGCCGCGCAGTGCCTAGAGGAGAAAAATAGGCCCTGTGACAGTGGTATCAGAGCCCGGTTTTAAGCAGGTTCGTTCTTGTATTTACTTCCTATTGTTTCATGCCAAAAAAGGTTGACATGGACGCTGTGAGGGAACGATTGACGCGGTTAGAGGAAATGCTGGGTGAGATTCAAGATGGCCAGGGCATGACCATCAATGAGAGACTTGATCGGGTTGATCAGAATTTCGAAATTCTCCATAAGCAATTTATGGAAANAGTGCTTGAGTTTCCTTGTATTCGGATTGAAATAATATAAGGTTGGGTTTTCCCGTATCTGTTGTGCATTTACTCTCATTAGCCTCTGTTGGATTATGTTTGCAATTTTGTAACAGGGAAACGCACAACTTGGTGAAGGCTGGCAAGTGTTGGTGCGCTTGTGCCATGCAGTGCCTAAAGACGAGATTAGGCCTTGTGACAGTGGTATCAGAGCCTGATTTTAACCAGGTTTGTTTTTCTAATTTCCTTATTATTGTTTCATGCCAAAAATAGTTGAGATGGACGCCATAAGGGAAAGATTGACGCGGTTAGAGGAGATGTTGGGTGAGACTCTAGATGGCCAGAATATGACTGTCAATGAGAGACTTGATCAGGTTGATCAAAATTTTGAAATTCTCCATAATCAATTTATGGAAATGGTGGACCAAACCAATAGGAGATTGGAGGCCCTAGAGAATGACAATGCCTTGTTGAAACATGCTCTCCCTCGTAGTCTTGATGGGGGAAGTACAGCCAAGATAAGAGTGCTCGAACCAAAGGCTTTTCAGGGTGCTAGAAACGCCAAGGAGTTGGAAAATTTCTTGTGGGATATGGAGCAGTACTTTGAGGCAGCGAAAGTCCCTGATGTGGAGAAAATCTCGATCACTAGCATGTATTTGGCTGGTGATACAAAATTGTGGTGGCGCACAAGATTAGCAGATGATGTGAGTGCGGGTAGGCCCAAGGTTGATACTTGGGAGAAACTAAAGAAGGAATTGAAGGATTAATTCTTGCCGGGGAACACATCATGGAATGCCAGGGACCGGATGAAAAAGCTCCAACAAAAGGTACTATGAGGGAGTATGTCAAGGAATTTAGTTCCTTGTTGTTAGACATACAGAATATGTCCGAGGAGGACAAATTGTTTAACTTTATGTCAGGTTTGCAAGGCTGGGCGCAAGTGGAATTGTGAAGGCAGAAGGTGCATGATCTGCCTAGTGCTATTACTGCAATAGATAGGTTGATTGATTTTAAAAGTAGCAAGGAGAGAGATCCTGTTATTGCAGTGAAAGCCAAAAAGAAGGACAACCAGGAATTTAAGGGAAGCAAGAAAAGGACTTCCACTTTCAAAAGAGAAATTATGCTAGTGAAAAGGGGAAGGCCATTGCTACCAGTAGTTTTTCCAAGGAAAACAAGGAAGGAAAAATGATGTCTGGTTGTTTCATATGTGTAGGGCCATATAGGGCAAGGGATTGCCCAAAGAGAGAGAAGCTAAATGCTTTGATGGGTGAAGAGGGAGACTCTAGTGGTGAACAAGTCACTATGAATCCGATGCAGTTGATGAATGCTATGAGGGTAAAAACGGATTCAAAGCAAAACAAGGGTGATACTTACCTTGGAGTTGTGAGCAAGGGTGTCGCTCGAAATGCTCTACTATTTGTGGATTTGAAAGTGAGGGATAGCCAAGTTAAGGCTTTGCTGGACACAGGAGCAACTCATAACTTTGTGGTAGATCGGGTTGTTTCGAAGTTGGGGCTAGCACTTTCCAAGAGTCCTATAATGGTAAAGGCTGTGAATTCGAGTGCACGTGGGGTGACTGGAATAGTTTACAACGTGCAGGTTTGTGTGGGCTGCTGGACGGGTAAAATTAATTTAACTGCTGTTCCTTTAGATGATTTTGATGTTATTTTGGGAATATAATTTTTTAAAGCAGCCAAGGTGTCGGTGGTGCCTTACTTGAATGGCATGATGATAAATCATGAATCAAGTCCTCGTTTTGTACCTTGCTGTTCATTGGGGGTGAGTAACAAACCAGGACAAGCTAAGCTTACTACTATCTCAGCCACGGCAGTAAAGCGTGGGCTGAAGAAAGGGCAGGAAACGTATTTGGCAGCATTGATAGAAATCAAACCTGATAAGAAGGTTGAAGTGCCGAATGCAGTGGCAGAATTTTACAAGACTTTGCTGATATTATGCCATGGGAGTTGCCCAAAGAACTTCCTCCAAGACAAGCAATTGATCACAAGATTGAGTTGGAACCAGGGGCGTTCCCACCTGCTCGTCCACCCTACAGAATTTCACCCATGGAGTTGAAAGAACTTTGAAAACAACTTGATGATTTACTTGATGCAGGTGCAGTGAGACCTTCAAAGGCTCCGTATGGTGCTCCTGTGTTGTTTCAGAAAAAGCAAGACGGTTCCCTTCAGATGTGTGTGGACTATGGGGCGTTGAACAAGGTGACGATTCGGAACAAGTATCCTATTCCCCTTGTTCAAGACCTCCTGGATAGGCTGAGTGGGGCTTTGGTTTTCACTAAGTTAGACTTGCAATCGGGATATTGGCAAGTCAGAATTGTTGCAGGAGATGAGCCCAAAACCACTTGTGTGACCAAGTATGGTTCTTATGAATTCTTAGTCATGCCATTTGGCTTGACAAATGCACCGGCTACATTTTACAATTTGATGAATGATGTACTGTATGAATTCTTGGATGAGTTTGTGGTGGTATATTTGGATGATATTGTGATATATAGTTGGAATTTGGATGAGCATTTGATTCATATGAGGAGGGTACTAACGCGGTTGAGAGAACATCAGTTGTATGTGAAAATGGAGAAGTGTGGGTTTGCTAAACAAGAAATAATGTTCTTGGGGCACTTGGTGAGTAAGGGCCAAGTGAGGATGGATCCCAAGAAGGTGCAGGTGATTGTGGAGTGGGTGGCTCCTACAAAAGTCCTGGAGTTAAGATCTTTCTTAGGATTAGCAAACTATTATCGTAAGTTTATTGCGGGGTACTCAAAGAAGGCAGCACCGTTGACAGATTTGCTGAAAAAGGGGCAACAATGGGAGTGGACAGAATCATGTTCTAAGGCTTTCGAAAGGTTGAAGAAAGCCATTGCCTCTGAATCGGTGTTGAGATTTCCAAGTTTTGAGTTACCTTTCGAAGTGCACACAGATGCTTCCGAGAAAGCAATTGGTGGGGTGTTGGTCCAAGAGGGACATCCCATAGCATTTGAGAGCCAAAAGTTGAATGGGGCAGAGCAGAGGTATTCTGCACATGAGAAAGAGA